GTGAAGTGTCTGTTCATATCCTGTGCACATTTTTCAATTGGATTATTTACCTTCTTGTTGTGGTGCTCAAGTATTTTATAAATTCTGGATATAAGTCATTACCAAATACTTTTTCCCAGTATGTGGTTTCCCGTTTTACCCTGTTGGAGAAGTTTTTGGATGTGCAGAGGGATTTGTTTCTTAGAAGATCCCATTCATCTATTTTATCTTTTCCTAGTTGTAGGTTTTCCAGGATACTTGGAAGACTGTTTATGTTGTGGATTAGGACTTCTAGCGTTGTTCCTAGCTTTTCTTTAATGAAGTTTATAGTCCTTGGTTTTAGTCTTAGGTCCATGATCCACCTTGAGTTGGTTTTTATATATGGAGTGAGGTGTGTGGATCTTGCTTGAGTCTTTTGCAGATACTTTCCCAATTTTGCCAGCACCATTTGTTAAAAAGGCTGTCATTTCCCCTCCTAACTGATTTCATCTCCTTGACAAAAATCAGTTGACCATAGATAGATGGGCTGATCTCCTGGTTCTCAATTCTTTTCCATTGGTTTGTGTGTCTGTCATTGTACCAGTACCATGCTGTCTTTACCATCACGGCAGTGTAGTAAGATTTGAAATCAGGGAGTGAGAGACCTCCTACCTTTTTTCTATTTTTAAGGAGTACTTTGCTTATCCGGGGCTTCTTTCCATTCCAAACTAAACTGGAGATTGCCTTTTCCATCTTGTTGAAGAAGGGGATTGGTATTTGTATTGGGATTGCATTAAACGTGTAAATTGCCTTTGGTAGTATTGCCATTTTCACAATATTGAGTCTTTCTATCCATGAGCAAGGGATATTCTTCCACTTCTCAAGTTCTCTTTTTGTTTCTTGTAGTAAATGTTTTATACTTTTATTTGAATAGGTCCTTTTGTGCTTCTGGTTAAATTTATTCCCAAGTATTTAATCTTGTGATTAGCTATTGTGGGGGGTATTGTTTTTCTTAGTTCCAGCTCTGTATTCTCTTTGTCACTGTAGAGAAATGCAACTGATTTTTGTATGTTGATCTAGTATACTGCTACTCTGCTGAATTGTTCCACTGTGTTCAATAGTTTTCTTGCTAAGTCTTTAGGGTTTTCTAAGTATACTATCATATTATCTGCATAGAGAGATCATTTTACCTCCTCTTTGCCAATTTGGATACCTTTTATTCCCTTCTCTTTTCTTATTGCTATCACTAAGACTTCCAATACAGTATTGAATAAGAGAGGAGATAATGGGCATCCTTGCCTAGTTCCTGTTCTTAAAGGGAATGCCTTTAACCTCTCTCCATTGAGAACACTGTTGGCTGTCAGGTTTGCATACTTTTTACTATGCTGAAGAAATTCCCCTCTAATCCTATTTTGTTGAGTGTTTTAATCAGGAAAGGGTGTTTGTTGGATTTTGTCAAAGGCCTTTTCTGCATCAATTGATAGGATCATGTGGTTCTTGTTCTTTGCTTTGTTAATGTGATGTTGAACAACATTAGTTGTTTTCCTTATGTTGAACCATCCTTGCATACCTGTTATGAATCCCACTTGGTCATGGTGAATTATTTCTTTGATGTATTGTTAGATTCTATTGGCCAGTATTTTATTCAGGATTTTTGCATCTATGTTCATGAGAGATATTGGCCTATAGTTTTCTATTTTGGTGGTATCCTTTCCTGGCTTTGGTATCAAGGATATGTTTACTTCATAGAATGAGTCTGGGAGAATTCCATCTTTTTCTTTTTTCTGAAATAATTTATGTAGAATTGGTAACAGTTCTTCTCTGAATGTTTGATAAAATTCACTTGTAAAACCATCTGCTCCAGGGCTTTATTTGGTTGAAAGTTGTTGTGTTACCTTTTCAATTTCTTCTTTTGTAATGGGTCTGTTCAGATGTTCAGTTTTGGTTTGTGTCAGTTTAGTTAGGTTGTGCATTTCTAAGTTTGTCCATTTCCTCTAGGTTTTCATATTTATTTGAGTATAGTTTTTCATAATACTCTAATGTTAGCTTTTTTATTTTAGTTGGCTCTGTTGTGATGTTACCTGATTCATCTCTTATTCGTGTTACTTATGTCTTCTCCCTCTTTTCTTTTGTGAGTTTTGCTAGTGGTTTATCGGTTTTGTTGACCTTTTCAAAGAACCAACTCCTAGTTTTGTTGATAGTTTCAGTTGTTTTTCTGTTTTCTATTTCATTTATTTCTGCTCTAGTTTTTAT